AATCTTTTCTAATTTGTCTTTTTTTTTTCTTCTTTCCAATTTCACTTTTTTTTTTTGTTTTAATTTTTATAACACCAATTTATTCTCAAAATCACCACTTATCCTATTGGTACAATAGTACATTTTTTAAACTTCTCATAAGATTAGTACATTTGGCATCTATTTTAAAATTTAATTGTTTTCCTCATTTTTCTATCTTACATAATATTTTAATATCTCCATAAAATACATTTCTAATCTTTTCTAATTTGTCTTTTTTTTTCTTCTTTCCAATTTCACTTTTTTTTTTGTTTTAAATTTTATAACACCAATTTATTCTCACATGTTACAAATCCAAGTTGGAGTATTTATTTACAATTTTTATTACACAATACATTTAATGTACATTTTTTAAACTTCTCATAATATTAGTACATTTGGCATCTATTTTAAAATTTAATTGTTTTCCTCATTTTTCTATCTTACATAATATTTTAATATCTCCATAAAATACATTTCTAATCTTTTCTAATTTGTCTTTTTTTTTCTTCTTTCCAATTTCACTTTTTTTTTTGTTTTAAATTTTATAACACCAATTTATTCTCACATGTTACAAATCCAAGTTGGAGTATTTATTTACAATTTTTATTACACAATACATTTAATGTATTTATATAGTATAATATAATTTACATGAATTATTAAATTTAATATGTCATCCCATATATTGTTTGATAAATGTCTCAGTAAATGAAATTCTAACTTATGTAATAGTCAATGTAATTTTAATAAAGAAATATAGTAACATGCATTATATTACTGTATTTCTCCATGTGTTACGCCTTTTCTCAAAAGAAATGTTTGTGAAGAGTTTTCTTCTCCAGTAACGCTTTTCATGTGGCTTCTAATACCGAAATATATTAGTGTTTTTTTTTTTCTGGAATTAGTTACCCAAAGTAAAACCCACAAATGAACTTATTAAAACATATGTAACGTCAAACAACTCTAAATTGATGCATTAGGCTAACAGATAACCACAATAACTCCAATCAATTCAAAACATTAAATCCAATTAATTCTTGTATATATTACCCACATGTGAAGCTAAAAAAACTCTTGTAGAGTTTTTGCTTTTTCCAGTCCGTTCTTTTATTTTATTGACTTTTAGTTGCTTTCTCTTTATTTCAGGCTATCATCCACATAATAAAAATATCTACAAAAGTTTTCTCATTTGGTGTTCAAGTTAATTAGGTTTGTGATTTCATATGGTGTTCAAGTTAGCTTCACCAACACCATTAGTTCTACATAAAAGTGTTCTATTTTTAAGTTCTATTTTTAATTGTTTCACTATTTTTCAACTCACCAATAAGATTTATATACATACATTGAGAATATTTATATCTATATTACTCAAAGTTTGAGAGGGATCGACGTTTGAGTTTCGTATATCTCGAGTAAATAGTTTTCTAATTTTTAATATTGTATAACATTGGACTTGATTATGTTTTGAATTCAATTTTTTAGTTAATCATACAAATTAAGTAAGAAATAAAGATCATATGAAAGAATATAAAATTTGAATTTTTTTTTATCAAAGTTTCCATAAAACCAACCCAATGAAATTCAACCAAAAATTTTAAAAAGTTCCACCAAAGGTTTTTTTTTTTTTTTTATCTATGCTCATGGGATTTTTGAAAAGAATTATGTTTGATAAGGGTAATTGCATAGAATATCATAATTAACTTATTCAGTTAAAATCTAACATGTCATTAAAGTATTTAGGTAAACGGCATTACATTATATTTATTAAAGTTTTGTTCTCTTATGACCTATATATATTAGAACTGAACTAAATTTTTTAATATAAACTTTCAAAAATAAAATTTTTAGTATATCATCTGAAATCATTTTCCTAAATTAAATATGATTATAATTAAGTGTAACATATATTTTTTTTAAACTTTCAAAAATAAATTTTTTATTATATCATCTGAAATCATTTTCCTAAATTAAATATGATTATAATTAAGTGTAACATATATTTTTTTTGTGCAAAGGCTGATTCAATTTAACTTAGGTTTGGGCCAGGTCCATTACAAGAGAAACTAGAGACTGTTTTGCCAATGAATCGGCATCAGAGTTCTGCAAACGGGGAATGAAACTAAACGAAATAACATCAAAGGTATAAGATAAATTCAGGATATCGAAGAGAATCCCATTATACATCAAAGGTATAAGGTTTTCTTCTAACTTTTCCTACCATTGCGACATTTGGCACTCTCTTTTGGTGACATGTGTCCTCCTTCAATGCATCAATGTTTGTTTTAATTTATTTAAAATCTTTAGTTTTGAAAGGATTCAATGCATCATTGTTTCTAATTTATTTTACCAAAATTATTATCTACTTAAAATCACCACTTATCCCATTGGTACAATAGTACATTTTTAAAACTTTTCATAATATTAGTACATTTGGCATCTATTTTTAAATTTAATTGTTTTTCTCATTTTTCAATCTTACATAATATTTTAATATCTCCATAAAATACATTTCTAATCTTTTCTAATTTGTCTTTTTTTTTTTCTTCTTTCCAATTTCACTTTTTTTTTTGTTTTAATTTTTATAACACCAATTTATTCTCAAAATCACCACTTATCCTATTGGTACAATAGTACATTTTTTAAACTTCTCATAATATTAGTACATTTGGCATCTATGTTAAAATTTAATTGTTTTCCTCATTTTTCTATCTTACATAATATTTTAATATCTCCATAAAATACATTTCTAATCTTTTCTAATTTGTCTTTTTTTTTCTTCTTTCCAATTTCACTTTTTTTTTTGTTTTAAATTTTATAACACCAATTTATTCTAACATGTTACAAATCCAAGTTGGAGTATTTATTTACAATTTTTATTACACAATACATTTAATGTATTTATATAGTATAATATAATTTACATGAATTATTAAATTTAATATGTCATCCCATATATTGTTTTATAAATGTCTCAGTAAATGAAATTCTAACTTATGTAATAGTCAATGTAATTTTAATAAAGAAATATAGTAACATGCATTATATTACTGTATTTCTCCATGTGTTACGCCTTTTCTCAAAAGAAATGTTTGTGAAGAGTTTTCTTCTCCAGTAACGCTTTTCATGTGGCTTCTAATACCGAAATATATTAGTGTTTTTTTTTTTCTGGAATTAGTTACCCAAAGTAAAACCCACAAATGAACTTATTAAAACATATGTAACGTCAAACAACTCTAAATTGATGCATTAGGCTAACAGATAACCACAATAACTCCAATCAATTCAAAACATTAAATCCAATTAATTCTTGTATATATTACCCACATGTGAAGCTAAAAAAACTCTTGTAGAGTTTTTGCTTTTTCCAGTCCGTTCTTTTATTTTATTGACTTTTAGTTGCTTTCTCTTTATTTCAGGCTATCATCCACATAATAAAAATATCTACAAAAGTTTTCTCATTTGGTGTTCAAGTTAATTAGGTTTGTGATTTCATATGGTGTTCAAGTTAGCTTCACCAACACCATTAGTTCTACATAAAAGTGTTCTATTTTTAAGTTCTATTTTTAATTGTTTCACTATTTTTCAACTCACCAATAAGATTTATATACATACATTGAGAATATTTATATCTATATTACTCAAAGTTTGAGAGGGATCGACGTTTGAGTTTCGTATATCTCGAGTAAATAGTTTTCTAATTTTTAATATTGTATAACATTGGACTTGATTATGTTTTGAATTCAATTTTTTTTAGTTAATCATACAAATTAAGTAAGAAATAAAGATCATATGAAAGAATATAAAATTTGAATTTTTTTTTATCAAAGTTTCCATAAAACCAACCCAATGAAATTCAACCAAAAAATTTAAAAAGTTCCACCAAAGGTTTTTTTTTTTTTTTTATCTATGCTCATGGGATTTTTGAAAAGAATTATGTTTGATAAGGGTAATTGCATAGAATATCATAATTAACTTATTCAGTTAAAATCTAGAGAAATTGTTAATAATGCCCTGTTTCACACACCCTTTTTTAACATTGCCCCTTTTTGCTTGCCATTTTTAAAAATACCCCTTAATTAATTCAAATATGACCAAAGTACCCTTGCTTTCATAACCTAAGATCTGCACGGTTCTATCAACCATTCTCTCTCTTTCTCTCACTTCGAACGGCGACGAACCAAATTTGATCGAAATTTCTCTCTTTCTCTTTTTCCGATCTCGATTCCGATATCAAATCGGCGTCTCCTTTCGATTTCGCTTTCTATCGGTGGTAAAATCTCGTTGTTCGTTTTCGATTTGATCTGTTCGATTTCGATCTGTTCGATTTCGATCTGTTCGATTTCGATCGGCGTTAACATCTTTTTGTTCGATTTTGATTTCTCAGCGTCTCCGTCTCTGTCTGTGTTTTATTTCGATCTGTCCCACATCGATTCCAGGTTAGATTCCTCACTATGTTTTAGAAGCTTTTTTGAAAGGTTTGTCTTTTTGAAGTTAGATTCTGTGGTTTGATTCTGTGGTTAGATTCTGTGTTTCTGTGAAAGTTTTGTCTTTTTGAAGCTTTTTTGATCTCATTATTGACTGATAACGCTTGATTTGACTGCTTGATTTTGAACTGTAGATTTTACAACATTTTTAAAGGTTCGTTCTTAACTTGTAAATGCTTCTTAATGCTTGATTTAGGGTATATCCTCTCTGATTTATTCCATTTCTTGATTTTATAACCGTTAACTGTGGATTTTACAACATTTTTTAAAGGTTCGTTCTTAATGCTGAATTATTCATTTGCTGTAATTTACAACCGTTTTAAAAAGGTCTTAAATGCTGAATTATTCCTTTGCTGTATTTTTACAACCGTTTTAAATGTTTTACATTCTTGATATGGTTTTTATGCTTGGTTTTTACGCAGATGTCTAACAATGACTCATTGGATGTGCTTAACCTACCGCCCCGTATATATAATCCCGGGTTTGAACCAAACATTGGAGCTGTTGTTATTCAACATTTCGAAACGCATTTGGTCAAAAAAGTTGAGCTCGCACTAGGGGAGGAACAGTTTAATCTAATTAAAGCCTCTTTCCTTGGTCCTATTATTGAACTAGCAAAAAGAAGTGGAGTTAATTTTTCAGGGAAGATTTTCCACTTCTTGATGCAGCGAAGGTTGCTTTTAAAGGAGAAGAATCTCTGGTTCACATTTGACTCCCAGCCAATGCGATTCTCAGAAAGAGAATTCTTGCTTACCACAGGTATATCTAAATTAGTTTTGTTTTGTAAGTTTTTAATCAATTTACAATGTGTTTTAAAAGTTTTACAATGTATTTAAAAACATTTAACAATGTGTTTTACAAGTTTTTATAAAACTCTAATATCAAATTTGTATTCACTTACAGGTGTTCAGTGTGACCTGATTGATAGTGAAATGCTTCGAAAAGGCAAAGCTCCATCAAAAGCTCCATATTTCTGGACTCAGAAAGAGCATTTTACGCTGGAACAACTCCAAAAACGTTTGTTTGAACCAAATCAGCTGCATCCGCTGGATGCTGAAGAGAAACTGAGTCTAAAGAAGGAACATTCAGGTACACCATTATTTTTTTTGTTAAAAATGATGTTTTTTTTTTATAATAAAATGGAACATCTAATATTTTCATGGTGTCATTTACTGTCCAAGATCGAAAACTAAGTGACATAGAACAGAAGGAAATTGATGATAGGGTCAAACTCTGGGCTAAAAACAAGAACTTCATTTTTATGATATCATCACTTCACCAGGTAATCTTATAATAATTTGTTATTTTTCTCATAACTACAAAAAGTAACGAAATTTATTATACATTACAGATTATTTGGTCCAATAGTTCATGGGAGACTGTTCATCACTTCAATTTGGTAAACAATGACAATGAGATAGGTTTAGCAAAACGTAAAGCACTGCTTGCTTTACATCCAGACAAACAACATGGAGCTAGCGCCGAACAGAAGTATCTGGCAACAAGACTTTTCAGCGTAATAAAGGTTAGTTTAAAACAGTTTTTCAAAATAAATGCGAAAACATTTTTTTTATGTTGAATCGTTTCTTATTGTTTTTTTATTAACTTATTTTGCAGCATGAATGGGATATCTACATCAAGAAAAAGCAAGTGTGAAAGAATGTAGTTAACATAAGTTCCTTTCTTATTGTAGTTATCTTTTTAAACCAGTATGTTATTTTGTAAAACAGTGATAACGAATGTGTTTATGGAACAGTTTATTAGATGAAGAATATTGTTAACTATTGCAATTTATATCCAGCTTGTTTCAAATTGTTATAAAGGGTTTTACAAGGGTTTTTATAGGTTAATACGTTTTTACAAGATTTTTATAAGGGTTTTACAAGAGGTTTTAAAGTGTTTTAAAGGGTTTTACAAGGGTTTTTGTAGGTTAAAAGGTTTTTACAAGAGTTTTTATAGGTTAATACAAGTGTTTTATAAGGGTTTTACAAGGCTTTAAAAGATTTATGATGTTATTTCTATAAGGAGGTTTTAAGGTTTTTACAATGGTTTTTAAAGTTTTTTAAAGGGTTTTATAAGGGTTTTACAAGAGTTTTTATAGGTTAATACGTTTTTACAAGGGTTTTATGATGGTTTTAAAAGAGGTTAAAAAGTGTTCTTAAAGTGTTTTACAAGGCTTTTTGTAGGTTAAAAGGTTTTTACAAGAGTTTTATAAGGTTTTACAAGGTTTTTTAAAGTGTTTTAAAGGGTTTTACAAGGGTTTTAAAAAGATTTTATATAGATCTTACAAGTGTAACAACTTTTTGAAAACCTAGTAACACCTTTCTCCAAGAATAAACGTAAAAAAGGTTTTATAACAAGTTATGAAAGTTTTTCAATAATATTTTTTAAAAAAGTCACAAAATACTTAATATGTTATGTAATAAAATAAAATAAAACTGTTTTACAAGAGGTTTTAAAGTGTTTTAAAGGGTTTTACAAGGGTTTTTGTAGGTTAAAAGGTTTTTACAAGAGTTTTTATAGGTTAATACAAGTGTTTTATAAGGGTTTTACAAGGCTTTAAAAGATTTATGATGTTATTTCTATAAGGAGGTTTTAAGGTTTTTACAATGGTTTTTAAAGTTTTTTAAAGGGTTTTATAAGGGTTTTACAAGGGTTTTTATAGGTTAATACGTTTTTACAAGGGTTTTATGATGGTTTTAAAAGAGGTTAAAAAGTGTTTTTAAAGTGTTTTACAAGGCTTTTTGTAGGTTAAAAGGTTTTTACAAGAGTTTTATAAGGTTTTACAAGGTTTTTTAAAGTGTTTTAAAGGGTTTTACAAGGGTTTTAAAAAGATTTTATATAGATCTTACAAGTGTAACAACTTTTTGAAAACCTAGTAACACCTTTCTCCAAGAATAAACGTAAAAAAGGTTTTATAACAAGTTATGAAAGTTTTTCAATAATATTTTTTAAAAAAGTCACAAAATACTTAATATGTTATGTAATAAAATAAAATAAAACTATATTGGAGCCACACAACTACTTTTGTTGTGTCCATTTTGACCACACCGACGACATTTGTAATTTGTTGCAGATTTTCCATACTCCCATCCACTAGGTATTCTCTTTTTCTTAGGCCTGCCACTAGGAACACGAGAAGATGGTGGTCGACAAACAAAAGCAGCAACATCGGCTGGAATCTCCCATTGTGTCCTATCACCAACGGGATATATACTCTCTGAATATGCTAGCGTCCACCTGTCAAACAAAGATGTAATTTTAAAAAATTGTAAGAGTTTTTAAAGGTTTGCAAGACAATCAGAAGGTTTTTTTAGGTCTTACAAGGTTTTTAGAGGTTGAACAAGTTTTTACAAGACATGATAAGGGTTTCACAATGTTATTATAATATTTTACAAGGTTTTTTAATGGTTTTGATAAGAAATTGATTTACAAGGTTTTTTAATGGTTATAAAAATTTTAAAAATACAGTTTTATAACTTGTTTTATATAGTAACATACCTGTAAAGTTAGAATATGACATACCTTTTGTTGGAGTATAAGGTATCAACATAATCATATTCGTTAAGATTAATATGTTTTGCAGCCGCTATTGCATGAGCACACGGGATTTTCGTGATATTGAACACACAGCACGTGCAGTCTCTTGTTTCCAAATTCACAACATGAACCAACGTACCTCCTTTCACTTCAAACACGTGTTGATTCACTTGTGACACTTCAAGCCAGCGTGCAGTAGAATCATACAGTGTCTTTACTTGCTTCATCACATTCACAGTAACTGAATGCCTATTACGAGTACCCTTCTCATGTCGTTCATTGAACCATCTGGTAAGAGTAGACCTAATTGTATCAAACAAACAGACAATTGGATACTCACGGCTTTCTTTCAACAGAGAATTCAAAGACTCAGCTAAGTTTGATGTCATAATGTTGTATCGATTGGCAGGTGCACAAGCACGTGACCATTTTTTGACATCCAAATCCCACAGATACTGTGCCATCTTGTTGTCAGCAAGAGACAGTTCATGGAACAATTGTTCAAAATCAAACCTTGTGTAAGCATAAGCTGCATCTTTCATAACTGGAATAAGCGTAGAGGATGACTTAAACCCAGTCTCAAGGTTTTTCTCCAAATGAAAAATGCAGATCCCATGATGAGCAAGTGGATAATTAACAATAAGAGCATTGGCAATTGATGATGCACGATCTGACACAAAAACTAAATCAGGTTCATCCGGGATAATTTTCTTCAAACACTTCATAAACCAGTCCCACGAAGCATCATTTTCTGAATCAACTACGCCAAATGCAATAGGATACAAATGAAAGTCACCATCTTGTGCTGAGGCACCAAGCAAAGTCCCTTTAAAATTTGATTTCAAATGAGCACCGTCAATACAAATCACTTTTCTCATCAACTTAAACCCTCTAATTGACGGACCAAAAGCAAGAAATGCGTACTTAAATTTATTGTCAGGATCGACCTCAATGAAGGTTGCAGAACCAGGATTCTTCTCATTTACCATGTACATCCACATTGGCAAGAACTCATAACCATCTTCAGGTGTACCCCTAGCAACATCGATTGCATGATCTTTAGCTCTCCGCGCTTTTGAATAAGAAACTCCAATCCCATTGTCGTGTCTGAATTTTTCTATCAGTTGTTTAGGTTTAAGCGCAAGCTTCTCTCCACGAAAATGATTACTTACCATTTCTCCTAATGTCCTAGCAGTTGCTTGGCGATGATTAACCTTCCTTAGCGAAGAATCACAACAGTGCTCACTAACATACTTTTTAATAATAAAACTATCTGATGCCTTAACCCTAGTTGCACGTAACCTCCAACTACATTTTTCATCAATGCAACGAAGAGTATACCGTGTTGAGTCTGATTTCTTAGTCCGGAACTCGAAGTTATTCTCCATTGCAAATAACTGCATCTGCCTTCCCATTTCCTTTTTGTCCTTGAACAACTTTCCACAATACAAAGTATTTGAAGATGCAGAAATAGTAGAACCACCTACAGGAGCTGAACCTTCAGATATATTAGAGAAGGATTCCGTTTCAGTTCTAACCCTCTCCGGGATGGTTGAGTCAAATCTCATCTGCAAAAGCAAAAAAAAATTGGATTTGAATTGTTTTACAAGGTATTTTAAAAGGATTTACAAGTTATTTTAAAAGGTGTACTAAAAAGGGTTTTTAAAAGGGTTTTACAAGGTATTTTAAAAAGATTTTTTACTGATTTTCAAAGAATTTGTAAGGGAATTGAAAATACCTCATTCATGACATGACATGCAGGAGCTGAAACAAAAGTTATAGGAGCAGGGTTTGCAGAATACATTTGTACCTGTAATATAATTTTTGCAAATTTACAAGTTATTTTGAATCTTTGTTAACTTATTTACAAGCTATTTTAATGATTTGTTTACTAATTTACAAGGTTTCTTTACTGTTTTACCTCATTCATGACTTGATATGTAGAATAAGGATCTGTATTGCTCTCACTACTAATTGAGATGTTGCTTGTCCCCATCATTGGATTAGTGCTTGTTTTCCCCTGTAAAGATTATTAAAACTGTTTACAAATTTGTTAAACCAGTTTACAAAATTGAATGTTGGTAAAATACCTTCTCAACAGTTACACATAGCTGAATACCGCCTCTGAATTCCGCAAGCTTTTTCATAAATGCTTGCACTTGCCTATCATTTCTAATATACATAGGAGGCATGTCTTTTGCAGAGGGTAATGAATAACTGAGTTTCACTATATTAATACCGACATCAATTCCAAAATCTTCTATAACAACAGCACACAAATCAGTGAAACACATATCCTCATTGATAAAAGTAAGAGACCCTCCTCTTTCAACATCAAATTTAAAATCCCAACAATTGTTATTTTTCAATTTCCAAACACCAGATATGCAATTCAACTCAATCATTACGACCTGATAAAAAAGACAATGTATTATAATGTTAAACATATGTATCTTTATGATAGTTCACAAGGTATTTATAAAGTTCATCATGGTTTTACAATATTTTTTAAAGGTTTACAATCTTCACAAAAAACATGGTAAATCAAAATTATTTCACTAATAGTGTACAATAGTTACTGAATAACATAAATACAGTGAGAAGATGAAGAAGAAATTTTTACAATGGTTTTAGAAAGTTTTTAAAGGTAACACAAATTATAATTTTCAAGCAAGACAAATTCGAGAAAATAGATAAACACAGAATCGAAGCTCTTAATTAATCAATTCAGATTTGAAGACGAATTCGATGAACTTTTGGATCTAAACGGTTCAGATTTCAGAAGCGATTCGAACCTAATTGATGCAGATTGGGATGAGTCACAGATTTTTGATTACAGACTCGATTGATCCTCGTCGATTGAACTCGATTGAACTCGACGGATCTAAGATGAAGATATCGACGGATCTAAGATGAAGATACTCGACGGATCTAAGATCTCATCACCTTTTCTTCGTCGGCTGTGAAGGTGACGAGAGCCGCCGAGATTTTTGTTTCGTCGTTCCCCAATTTTGTCGTGGTCAATTTGGTTCCTCAATTGGTCAATTTGGTTCCTCATTAAGGGTAAAATGGTCAATTTCAGGGAAGCTATTAGGGAGGGGGCATTTTTGAAAAGGGGCATGAGAAAAGGGGCATTTTTGTGAGTCCCCCTAAAATCTAACATTTCATTAAAGTATTTAGGTAAACGGCATTACATTATATTTATTAAAGTTTTGTTCTCTTATGACCTATATATATTAGAACTGAACTAAATTTTTTAATATAAACTTTCAAAAATAAAATTTTTATTATATCATCTGAAATCATTTTCCTAAATTAAATATGATTATAATTAAGTGTAACATATATTTTTTTTAAACTTTCAAAAATAAATTTTTTATTATATCATCTGAAATCATTTTCCTAAATTAAATATGATTATAATTAAGTGTAACATATATTTTTTTTGTGCAAAGGCTGATTCAATTTAACTTAGGTTTGGGCCAGGTCCATTACAAGAGAAACTAGAGACTGTTTTGCCAATGAATCGGCATCAGAGTTCTGCAAACGGGGAATGAAACTAAACGAAATAACATCAAAGGTATAAGATAAATTCAGGATATCGAAGAGAATCCCATTAAGCTCCTTGTGCTGAAGCTCCGATTTTAAAGCTTTGACTAGCTGTGCTAAGTCAGAAGCGAGAAAGAGATGTGAAAAACCCAAATTAGCATATATAAAATATGTTTTTGCTCATTTGGACCACCTTGCTATTTTATTAAATTTAATCATTATCACAAATTATTTAAATTTCTCTTTAATTTTTAACATATATAGATAAAATTAAGCAAAAATAATAATAAATATGAATATGTTTTACCTTTGATCTCCTAATTTTATTATGGATTATATGGATATAATATGTAAAGCTTATTGTCGAGGGAAAGTCATGAGATTGGGAAGATCTACCTTCTGATGAGATCCAAGGAGGGAAAACAGCCGATATCAACCCCAATTATCAACTCGAACCCACATAAATTTTAAATAACAAACATGAACTACGTAATCGTTAGCCAATTTTAACATATACCTGTTATTAAATAATGTAACAAACCTGAATTATTTAACCTTTAGCCAATTGAATAAAAAGAATGATTCAGATACAAAAGAACAGATAATTATGACTTTATAATTCTAATCAACATTAAAAAATACCAAAAAGACTATGTTGAAATTGGATAACAGTTAGATAGTTTAGGTTTGTTTTTTTTAAATGGTCCGAGTTCGGGTTGATAAGTGTTGGGGTCAGAGTTTGGGTTGAAAAAAGCTGCAGAAAATAGTTAGAGTTGATTTTGGTTGCAAGAGACTCTATGATGAGGTATGATATATATATTTCGAGAATAAAATATTTTATGTAAATTAAGAAAAAGTAGTGGCGTATATTTATGTCATGCCACCAAAAATAAAAAAAGAACAAAATTTATTTTTTAGCAATTCACAAAAGTACTTCGAAAAGGAACATAAAAGTTAATATTTTAAAAAATTCTTTTCAAAAAACTATATTAATAATCGAACATATTAATTTAATACAAATTTTATTTTAATTCAGAATTAATATTAAATATGTAATTCAGAAAATTTATTTTTCCGTTCGGGACATCTGGTAAACAATATAGTTTTTGTGAATCTACCTTTTTTAAGAAGGTTGATTGTGATTCTAGAATCAGAGAAACACAAAATTTGCACTGAATTTTCTACTTTACTCATAGCCTTCCAATGCCTTTTATACCAATTACACGTACTTAAGTAAATAACTGAAACAAACGAAAAAACAGGGACACACTATCTCAACTAGTCCAACTACTCAGCTACAAAACCGGAAACTAAAATGACAAATGCAAACTAGTAAGAACAAGTCTCTTACTCTAGACTCGTGAAAGACAGAGACTCAAAGCAGACAAATACTAAAATAACCCAGCAAACCTTCCCTTGAACTGAACCTTCTCAAGCAATCAGTTCACAATCCCTATCCCAAGTGCTCCTCGAATCCTCTTAAATGTCTTAAAATTCAAAGGCTTTGTCATAATATCAGCTAGCTGCTCCTCCCTATTACAGTAGACGAGTATTACAATCCTTCTTTGGTTAATTCCTTGAGAAAATGATGACGAACCCTGATGTGCTTGGATCTCCCGTGCATAACTGCATTCTTTGACAGCTTAATGGTATATGTATTGTCACATAACAACACCATTTCACCATCTTGTTCGTACCTAATATCCTTAAGGACTCTTTCCATCCAAATGGCTTGACAAACACAGGTCGCTGCTGCAACGTATTCTGCTTCAGTGGTTGATAAAGTCACAATAGGCTGCTTTCATGAGGACCATGCAACATCTCCTCAACTCATCAAAAGGACTTACCCCGAGGTGCTTCTACTGTCACCTTCATCTCCCGCGTAGTCACCACTAGTATACCCAATGAGCCTTGTTCTTCATTGTTTTTAACCAAATCCCATGCTCCATTGTACCTTTTTGATAACAAATGATTCTTTTCAGGATGTGTTGTAGTCAGATTCATCAAGCTTCCCACCATCTACTTGTACAGAGTCAAATCGACCTTCACACCAGCTATGTCACGACCAACTTTTTGTCCAAGAACTATTTGATTGCAGACAAGATTAATGTTTTGCATTCCAAATCTCTCGATCACTTCAGCTGCATATTTTCTTTGACAAATAAAGATTTTATCGTCTTTCTGTACCACTTCTATGCCAACGAAATATCTGATGCCTTCCAAATCCTTCATATCAAACTCTTTCTCCATTCTCTGTTCAGCCGAGTAACTAACATCCCATATTCTTGTTTTCTTCCTCAAAAATTATATCACGGCTAATGTGTGTCTTCTTCTCTACCGGATAAAATATTTTCTAAGCTTTCGATTCACTACTGTAGCCAACCATGACACACTTCACACTTTTATCATCAAGCTTGGTCTTTTTGACATCATGAATATGGACGTATCTGATACAATAGAAAATCCTAAAGTGCTCAACATATATTTTGTTTTTCATTCCATGCTTCTTCTGGGGTCATGTCTTTCACTATCGTTGTAAGAGATCGATTAAGAACATGATTTTCCCATTGTACTGCATCTGGCCAAAAACTTTTGGTACTTCTTTTCCATAAATAGCTCTCACCATATTCATGATGGTTCGGTTTTTGCGTTCAGCAACGCTGTTTTGCTATGGAGTATAAGCGGTAGTCAACTATCGATTGATTCCATGCTCCTTACAATACTCATTAAACTCCGTAGAGTTGTACTCTCCTCCTCTATATCTGTTCTCAAACACCTAATAAAGCTCCAATTTGCTTCTCCACAAACGTTTTGAACATCTTGAATTGATGAAATGCCTCTAATTTTTCTAGCACAAAATATATCCAAGACTTTAATGAGAAATCATCTATGAAGCTTATTAGGTACCTTTTTTGAGTGTTGGATGGTGGAGTGAGCGGACCACACAAGTCAGAGTGGATAAGTTGCAGCTTCTCAATTAATCACCACTTGCTCTGTCTTGGAAAAGAAACTCGATGTTGTTTTCTTTTGACATATGCTTCACATGTAACCTTCACTTGTACAATGTTGGATAAGCTAGTGACCATTTCCTTATTACGCAAAGTGAGGAGACCCTTGTAGCTAAGATGCCCGTATCGATGACAACTCTGCTTTGTCACATGCATTAACTTGAAGGCACATTTCCTCCTTTTCATTTCCATTTGCTTCACCAAGTAAGATAAACATTCAGTTTGTGCTCATGACTGATTCTGCTATTTTGCCTTTGGTGGGGTGGAATATGATGCAGGTCTTCCTATCTCCTCCTTTGAACAACACATCTAGCCTCTTTTCAGTTCGGGCACATAGTAAACATCATTCATCACATAGTTTATTCCCTTAAGCATGATTTTTACTACACCTTTTCCACTAACCTCCAATTTGTGGTTGTTACCAAGCTTGACATTGTGAGTGAAAGTAGCATCCATGCTGGAGAACATGCTTCGATCTCCACACATGTGATTTGAGCAACTAGAGTCTACGAACAAAACATCACCTCTTTGTGTCTCTTGAAGCTCCACATATGCCACCAACATGACTTCTTCATTCTCTTCTAGCTCATTTAGACACTCATACTGGAAATGCCCTAATTTGTGACATCTATAACATTCGATCGTTGCTTTGTTGAACAAACGTCCTCTGCCTT